TGCACTGGAATGATGGGCTAAAAGAAAAGATCACCACGTTTTGGAGTTTCTAATCTAACATGAATAGTAGACATTATTGTTAATATGTAAAATATTATTAATGTATAAAATATTACTATTCTCTTAGACACTATATAGGATCTGTTGTTAAAAGGAGAAACTCAGGCTGGGGATATATAATTATAATATCTGCATACTTTCTCCATATTGATTAATTTTCCTTTTTTTCCCCTTGTGGGGGAGGAGGAGGGTAATATTACAATAGTTTAAATAAAATCCTTTAGTATTTCAACTGTCTTTTTTTCTTTTTAAGATTTTATTTATTTGACAGAGAGAGAGAGCACAAGTAGGCATAGCAGGCAGGCAGAGGGAGAGGGAAAAGCAGACTTCCCGCTGAGCAGGGAGCCTGATGTGGGGCTCGATCCCAGGACCCTGGGATCATGACCTGAGCCGAAGGCGGATGCTTAACCGACTGAGCCACCCAGGCGCCCCTCAACCGTCTTTTAATGGCTTACTGCTCTCCTGAAAGAGTTCTGATAATCAGTTCTCAGAGAAGCATGTGAGAAAAAATGACATTTGTTCAGCAGACGCATAATCCTTGCTCACACTCTGATCAGACAAAAGCCACAGAGCAGAATATCATCACACTGATAGTTCCAATGACACACAGAAGCACCTGGTACGTCTGGAGTGACTGCTTCTTTGCACAAGCATGCAGCTGACATGAAGGTTAAAATGCTGCTTGGTACTCCAACGTGTAGAAAACATAACCTGGGCAGTTGCAGCAGAGAACAGCTATGTATTTTTGAAGTCACAGACTCATCAAAGTCCAGGCCTACTATTTAAAATTTTGCGGTTGAATATTTTGTCCAGATTTTCAAAACCCACATTGTAAGTGATTTACACAGTGCTATTTTGCTGTTTTCAAGTCTATGCAAATATAGTGGTGGGTGTGATAAATTCTTAATACATAATTTTAAAGCATTTTGTGCTTCTTTTAGCTAAGTGTGTTAGAAGATAAAATGTGCATATAAATGTGTTTGTGAGAAAGGTGCTGTTAAGTAAAGAAACATTTACTAAAAGAATAATTTTGCAATTGGGAAATCATAATTTCCAATATGTTTTCTTTCACTGAAAATAAAAGATTATATGACAGTACCGAATTGATACATATGTTGTTTTGCACTAATAAGAACTTTCTTTAGATAAAGAAACAGGGTTTTAGAGTCTCAGTTTTTGTTTTGTTTTGTTTTCTTTCTTATTTTGTTTCTCTCTTGCCAAGGTACTTCTCAGAAGAATGTTGTTAAGTGCATGAACTAAAACACACTGGATTACAAGAGATACAAAGGAAACAAATTATTCTGAAATACAATTATCAAAATAGTCTTAGGACATATTTGTGATATAGCAATGTATGCTCTTGAATAAGACATTAGAAAACACGATCTAGCAGTGGGCTTCACAACAACTAATTTCAAAGTAAAGATAAGCAGTATTTCAAGGTAGCTGCAAAACGTGTATTATCATGCAAAAACACTTCTATTAGTGATGGCATGTAGGTACTACCAATACTACTGTGGTTTGTTACCTACATTCAAAATTAAAGAACATGCTGGAAAGAAAGAGGTAATTCTGTATATTTGACCAATCAAATTCACAAACCTCCTGAGTTCTGCTTGAAAGTAACAATATGACACTGGTAGATAGTGCTAAAAGAACCTTGAGGATGTGCTAACCCAAACTTGTTTTCACAAAGTAATGACTTGATGTTTCCACAAAATCAGTTTTCATTTTTCACCTTGGTAATAATTCAAATGGAAATGCAAATTAATAAAAATTAATAAAATGGCCTAATAGCACAGGAATTGTAAAGAGTACGGTAAACTGGAGAACACAGGCTCTTTCTTTTTTTTTTCTTTTTTAAAGATTTATTTATTTATTTGAGAGAGAATGAGAGAGAGCACATGAGAGGGGTTAGGGTCAGAGGGAGAAGCAGACTCCCTGCCGAGCAGGGAGCCCAATGCGGGACTCGATCCCGGGACTCCAGGATCATGACCTGAGCCGAAGGCAGTCGCTCAACCAACTGAGCCACCCAGGCGCCCCGAACACAGGCTCTTTCTAAAGGAAACTGCACATGCATGTCAAATAAAGAGTCTCCGGATCCCAGTTAGGGCCACCAATTTGTAACCTCTGATAAAATATGTAAAACGAAAAAACAGTTTTAAATATTTTAGATTTTTGAAAGCTATTTGCAAGTATTATCTTCTATCTTTACCACCTACCTATATTGCTATAGGTAAGCAGATAATATTATCTCTGTTTCACAGGAGGAAAATAGATGAAGAACAATCTCTGTCACATATCCAGTTTAAAAAGCTAGACATTATAGCCAGTATTCCACTTTCCGTTAAAGGATAAGTAATTGCTGAGACCTTGTGTTGGTGAAAAAGTTTTAGGAAGGAAGGAAGGAAGGAAGACAAAGTCAAATTTAGAGTAGTGTATGAGCAAATAGTAAAACTTAACTTGCAAATGAATGCATCAGATAATAAGTCCCTGTGTGCTGAGTTGTCTACTATGTGCATTGTGCTTAATTCTTGAGTGGTATGTATTTCAAGTCTTCATAACAATTCTGCAAAGTAGGTGTTGGCATCAATATAAGATACTCAGACTTGTATTAGACAAGAAAAGGAGTTCAATTAAGGAAATCTCAAAGTTCTCACTGGCACCATATAGCCAAAATACCATTATAACCGTTCTCTCATTCCCACTTTCATGTTGACCTAAACTGAATCTTCTAAAAGCAATGCTGAGATAGAAATATTTTAATCAGAATGTTACTATGTCAGTTTTGGTAATTAAACATGCCAAAAAATCTTTTGGCCTCTGTATCTGTTGACTTAAGGATGTCAAATTGTACAGGTTAATTTTACTCTGTGGATTTTTAAAATTGAAATTATGTAATCCATATGTTATAGATTATATAATCTATATAATCCATACGTTATAAATTATATAATCCATACAGAAGCAAAATATGGCAGAACTTCATTTTGTATAAGATTTTTTATCATTATTTAGTCAATTGAAATAAAATTTTAAAGTATCCATCTAAGCATCAATACCAATTAAATAAGTATTAAAATCTTTACTTCTCTTAAGTCACTTTAGGGAAATTTGATGCTATTTTTACTTTTTTACAGAAAGGTATATTGGTAACAGTCAATATATCATTTTGAATTGTCTTGACACATTGCATACCTTTTAAATTTTTTCAATCTTCAAATAGTTAAAATTAATGGTATATTATATTCTATTGTCATTTAAATTCAAAATTTAATGATATATATTTTGTGTTCCAAACTTCAGAAATGAAAGTAGAAAATAAGTTAATATTTACAAAGAAAACCCTGGGAAGTGTTAAATTTAAATGTGAAGCATGTTGATGTCACTGCAGGATAAAAACATAATTTTTTTTTTATCTCTACAGCTTCTAGTTTTTCACAAAAGCTTATATTACCGTCATAATACAAATTAAGCTTATGTTTAAAAATATGTCAGAATTTCTTGCATATTTTCTTATTTTGCCCACAGAAAAATCAGAGTTTTAGTTCTTAAGTGGAGAAAAGTCATGCAGGGCAATGGACAAGGGAGAAAGCAACTGAGATTTCATGCAACATGGTGAGGAAAGGCCTCAGTGACAAGGTGACATCTGAGCAGAGACTGAACAAGAAATGGAGCCATACGGGAAGAAGAGTGTTGGAAGAGGCGTCCGGGCAAGGACAGAACAGAAGTTGTCAGAGAGGCAGCATGCTTTCAAATAACATTTATCAGCACTTACTATGTATGCATGTTATGTTTTTACTGCTGTGAAAGTACCAAACAACCAAAAGACAGGATTCCTACCCTCAAGGAATTTTAACTTGAGCCGGGCGAAAAGTGAGAGAAACAGAAAAGAACTAGAAAACAATTGAAAGTAATTTCTCGTATGTAAAAAACAGCCCATACCTACTTTTTTTTTAAATCATCTATTCCACTTAATCTAGGATATTAAAGACAGATTTTATATTTAGATGATAGTAAAGCTTGCAATATCTATTCTCCTATAATTAAAAGCCATTGGCTGTTTGCATTTAAGTCTTTTCTAATGAGTCAGGATTAAGAGTCTATGCTTTGTCCATAATTTTAATTTTTAAAACTAAATTATATTTCCTTCCACAGTAATATGAAAACAGATCCTCTAACTGTAAATTACTTTTAACGAATCCTTGAGCAAATTCTAAAACACCAAAGCAACAAAGATACAGATTTAACATCTACAAAATGTTCTTTAGAACCCCAGATATTGCCATATCTAAAATTTTTTAATGTATTCTTTTAATAAATACTTTGCTGTTTTGCATTATGATGCCATGACACACCAGTTCACTTGATACCTCTTCCTTTGTGTGTGAACAGTGTCAATCATGTGTCAAGTTTATTTCTACTGCAACTGAAGAGCTATCTCTTTACTGACAAATCTGTTAGATGGAATATTTAGTTGGTCAAAATGCATCATGTAGAGTAGAATAGTACAATATTAAATGAGCCTGATGTCAAGCCGGTCCAGAAAAAGATCACATAAATATTAGACTAAAAAGAACTTTGACTCAGGAGAAAGAATCATTGTTGGATTAGTAAACAGTTGGAAACTGATGGAATCGAAAGGTTAATTAAGCACCTTTTGCGGAAAAAGTGGGTTCAATCCAGTACCTTTCAAGTGTATAACCAATACTCTCAGCTGTCCCTCCAATACAAAATAATTGAGAGCCAATTGACAATCATGGGATAAGCCCTCTGGATAATATGTGTGGAGTGAAAATCTATAAAGTTTCATATTCATTCAACAAATACTTAAGGCACAAAGCTAGGAAAGACAACATAAATGGATTAGACATTATCTCTGCTCTCACAAGACCTATAATTTAGTAAGGCTATAAGCAAGTAAGAACATTATTATAAGAATGCTCACTTTAGCACTATATACACTAAAATGGGAATGATAGAAGAGTAGTAGGGTCCCTGAGCAGGGATGACAGGCAAATTTGTGAAGGGTTGCATATTTTCAAAAATTTGGCTCTCAAAAATTTTTATAGAAATTAACATTGAAAGGGCTATGATATATGTACAAACAAAAGATGATATAAGATGCATTTAATGCTGTTCACAAAAAAACCACTTTCAAACCACTTCAACCACAATACCTGGGTTGAAGATGAGACAATGGAAATAAATTTACCATCCAAACACTAATTAGAAAGGAAAATGTGAGGATGGCTGCAACAAATAACACAGGAAATAACAATTGTTGGTGAGGATGTGGAGAAACTGGAACCTTCATAGATTGCTGGAATGTAAAATGATGCATCTTCTTTGCAAAAACAGTTTAGCAGCTTCTCATAAAGTTAAATACAGAGTCACCAGATGACCCAGCAATTTCAGTCCTAAGTATATGCCAAAGAGAAGTGGAAAGATATGCACATGAAATGCACAAGTGCATTATTCGTAATAACAAAAAGTGGAAACAGCCCAAATGTTCATCAGCTGATAAATGGATAAATCAATGTGGCATATCCAAAGGGGGTAGGCAGAAGAAAGACCCTTAAATATTACCAAGTCCTAATACCTGGAACTTGTGAATATGTAATCTTACATGGCAGAAGGGACTTTCTAAATGTGAATAATTTATGGGCTTTGAGATGGGGAGGTTACCCTAAAAGATCAAGATACCCAAGGCTCCTGAAAATTGGAAGAAGGAGAGAGAAGAGTCAGTCACAGAAAATCCATTTGAGAAATCAAATGGATTTTGTTGGCTTTGAAAACGGAGAGAGAGGGCCATAAACCAGTTTCAAATTACATGAAGATGGAAAAGACAAGGAAATGGATTCTCCCCAGCTTCCAGAAAGGAATGCAGCCCTGCCAACATCTTGATTTTAACAAAATGAGACTTGTATTGAATTTCTAATCAATAGAACTGTTAGATAATAAATTTATGTTGCTTCAAGCCACTAAATTTGTGGTAACTTGTTATATCAGCAAGAGGAAACAAGTATGTTATTCAATGGAATAGTATTCAGCTATGAAAATAAATGAGTATTGATACATGTTTTGCATGGGTGAAGATCGAAAAAAATATGCTAAGTGAAACAAGCCAGTCATAAAGATGACACATTGTATGATTCTACTTATATGAAATGTGTAGAATAAGCAAATTTATAAAAGCAGAAAGTAGAATAGTGATTTCTTTTTTTTTTTTTTAAAGTTGTGTTTTTGTTTTTTTTAAGATTTTATTTATTTGACAGAGAGAGAG